AATTGAACAAAATGGAATCAATTTACTTTTGGCACCCCTATTGTCTAGCACAGGGCCTAGCTCAAAGTAGGCACTCAGTAGTGTTTGAGGAAGGAATGTTGTCTTCCACTGTTCTGCGTGCACTGTGTTTTCTTCAACTAGCTTATAAGCCAAATGTTAGGGCCTTTCTTCTTAATCTCTATAACTTGAAACTCCTCACTGACTGCATAGTAGACATTCAATAGGGATTCAAAGCCAACCTGTTACTTCAATGTTGGGTAATATATTATCTACCAGGTTGGATTCAAGCAAGAGGGTTTGAGGTGTGGGGTGTGTGAATTGACCAGGAATGTTTCCAGTTGTCTGAAGACCCTCATGTCTTGATAGCAGTGGTTTTAGTCTCAAGCTTCATTTCCATAAAGAATAGCTCATGAAGGGTAACAGAATGGAGAAAAGGCCATATCAATGAGAACCTGGATTTCTGGTTTTCACTCTTTCTCAGGACACTGTTTGGTTTGAAGAGGCCTAATTATGCCACTTATACCAACAAAACCAGTGGAACAGATCCTTCTGAGTAGTGTGTTTTAGTGTGATTCCCTCTTCCAGATTTTCTCAAGGGAAAAACATTTGCTTATTGGCATTTGGTCTTAGTATTAGGACAACTTACAGACTGTGGACAAAGGCTGTGTGAAAATAGGCATATTGATGCATAAGGTTATTTTTTATTACTAGGTGAAAGTAAAAGTTGGATCAAAATTATATTAATTCATGTAGTGAATATTCTTGATGGTTTGGGCAAACATTGCACCCTGTTAAACTTGGCAGAAACTTCTTGAGAGCCTCCTGAGCCCACTGCTGCAGATTTAATCGTTGACCTTGAGGAAATCAAGGCTAGAGAGGGAGTCTGTATCCTGATTTTTTTTTTAAAGTACATTTATTAGAATGTCAAAATCTAAGAGGTGTGGCAAGAACTTACGTTTCTTAAATTTGTGGGATTTTAGAAAGAATAATTGGAATCTTGAAATTCTGCAGTGCTTGATCTTTAAATTATAGATCACAAACTTTCCAAAATAATTTCAAGATTATCCTGCATTGGAAGAAGTCAGGTAGAACAGCGGAGATGGCCATCAAACAGTGTCTCTCTGGCTCTGTCCTGCCTGCTCTGTGAGTATGTCCACCATCTTTTTCTAGCTGACAGTTCTGGAAGAATTCAAGGAGGTTCTCACATGTAATTCATCTACTGGTCATTGGGTGCTCAGTGGTGGCCACTGTTTTGGTCCTTTCCTTCTCTTGTTCCTTGTAGTGAATCTTCTTCCACAACAAAAGCTGGAGTCCTGGGTCACCAAACACACCCTAGTTGCAGGCCCATTAGAGACCTGTCACTGCCACTTGGTGCCGGCAGGCATGTATGGCCATGCCTTTGTTGGCACACCCTCCAATTCCAGTGCTGCCGCCCACTCTGACTACAGATACATTTGACACCTTTCCTCTCCTTCCTCACCTGTGGCCAACGGTCTCTGAAACAAAACTGGAGCTCACACCTGAACCTAGTTAGCAATCTGATCAGGAGCCAAGTCAACAAGGAATTTCGGACTCACAGCTCTTCTATTCCCCGCTTCATATCCCCTGCTTGCAACCTCATCAAGGCAGGAGAGGCCTGACATGAGAAATCTGATTTTTTATTCAGATGTCCCAGATTGTGCCCATTTTCATTGTTACTTTCCATCTCCTTGGGAGGAACAGACTTAAAATAGACTTAAGGAAGCTATTATGTAGGTGTATTTGTAATAGGACATATGCCTATGCTCCCCACACCCCCCAAAGCCCAGAGAAACACTCCTTTTATCCCTACAGTTAGCTGTAGCCTCCGAGGAGGAGCAGATTTCCTGAGGCTTTGTGTCCTAGACTGTCCCATTCCCAGTAGGGGTCTGAGCTGTTTGGTTTTATTGCCCACCTTATAAATGAGAACAGTCTGGTCTGATCAAGAGGTTAAGAATCCAGACCATATGCCCAGCACACAAAGCAGTAAGGAGCAAAGGCTTTGGTAGTCAGAGCTGGACTCCAAACTGACTCTGCCACTTTCTTATCCAGTCTAAGACCCTGTTCCCTTATCTATATAATGGGGAAATCCTTATGAAAGTGAGGAACATTAAGTAAGATTATATATATATATTGTGTTTAGCTTAGGTCCTAAATCACAATAATCACTCAATTATTGTTTGGTACCAATAATAACAAAAATAGCTAAGTGGTTTATTTTAAAATAGCAAAATCTGTAGCAATAGTGTTATAACATGTCTTCTTGTCTCCAGCTCCTTACTCTATGCAATCCATTTTTTATTCAGCTGCTAGATTCATCTCCCTAGAACATTGTGATCATATTACACCCCATGTGAAAATGTTAGATCGCTTCTTATTACTTACACCTAAAGTCCGAAGTTCTCTGTGCATTCAGGCCCATTGGTCTGGCCCCAACAAAACATTACGCCCGTTTCTCCACTACTCCTCTTCACACCTCCTCCACTCCAATTAAAATAAACCAACATTCTTCATGTACACCCACACCCTGCACACTGTTTGTTCTTTTTTATCCAGAATCCAGATCTTATCTCTCCTTTAATGCCTGGCTTAAGTGCCACTTCCTCCACTAAGACTTCTCCAGCCTATAATAAACCTCATAGCTCTTGATGGACCCCTTGTCATCACACAGATATCTAGGTCAAATTCGTGCTTAAAATTTATACGTATATCTCTTACATCAGATGATTGATTATAGCTATCTAATTCATCCTTATATTCCTAAACCAGAATTTCTCAACCTCAGAGCTATTGACATTTTGGGCCAAATAATTCTTTTGAGGGGTGAGTTACTGTGTGCATTGCAGAACATTCAGCAGCATTCCTGGCCTCTACTCACTAGATGCTGGTAGCACTCCACAGCCCCAGTGGTGATAACCAAAAATGTCTCCAGACATTATCAAATGTCCTCTGGAGAGCAAAATCACCCCAGTTGAGAACCACTGCCCTAGATTACAAACCATGGAGGTTTGAACATGAATGGTTCTCAGTAAATGCTTATGAAAGGAAGGAAAGAGTTTGGCTTAGGCCCTTTTAAGTTTGAGACAATAGTGGAATATATAATTAACGATATTCTTTGAGCATTTGGGAATAGAAGCACGGAGTTCCTTTGAAAGCTCAGAACTAGAGATTGATATTTGAATGCCTCTGGCATAGAATCAGCTAATAGGCATTTATTGTGTGACATAATGTTTTGAAGTCCCGAGTCAGATAGGAGTTGAGCTCCCACCACTGGCCTTACCATTGTAAACTGTCACTGGAGGTGAGTATTTTAACCCTTCTGAGCTTCCGTTCTCTTATTCTGTAAAATGGGGGTAATAATTGTCACCTGTATGGGATTGCTCTGAGAATAAGTTAGGCAATGCATGTAAAGTGGTCATTTGAGAGCCTGGAATGTAGTAAGCACTTAGTAATAGTTCAGTGTCATTATTAATATTGTGATTAATAATAAAGCTTAATTTTTAATCCATTCAGAGGTCAAGACAATATTAGTTCCATTTTATAGATAGGCTGTGGTTAGAATCTGGATCTGCTAGGCCAGGTGCAGTGGCTCACACCTCTAATCCCAGCACTTTGGGAGGCCGAGGTGAGTGGACCACCTGAGGTTGGGAGTTTGAGACCAGCTTGATCAACATGGAGAAACCCCGTCTCTACTAAAAATACAAAATTAGCCGGGCATGGTGGCAGGTGCCTGTAATCCCAGCTACTGTGGAGGCTGAGGCAGGAGAATCGCTTGAATCCGGGAGGCGGTGGTTGTGGTGAGCTGAGAACATGCCACTGCACTCCAGCCTGGGCAACAAGAGTGAAATTCCGTCTCAAAAAAAAAAAAAAAAGAATCTGGATCTGCTAATCCCCATCTTTCCCTGGATCATATTCATCTCACAATAATGCACACAGCATCTCACTTCCCAGAAGGATCTTCACCTTTTCATCTGGAAACTGAGTGCTAACTGCCTATGGCAAAAATTCCTTTTCAATTGGTAAATAACATCTTCTTCTATAACTATCATTGGGAAACTCAGTAACTGCTTATTAAATGCTTTGGGTAAATAGATGGAGGAGATATTGCATATAAGACACTTGTGTTGCCAAAACAAAGCACCTGCCTGTTTGTAGCTTACTAACCCACATGCTCAAATATTCTGTCCCTTAGGCTTTAGGAAATGAATTCATAAGTTTAGCAACCATTGGCATTAGCTCCAGGCAGTATTTGATTTTTGGAGTACAGCAGCATGAGCAGAGGCTGTGGCCCAGAGCAGAAGCTGGCGCAGAAGCCCAGGGACAGGCCAACAGGTGGGTGGGGGAAGCTAACTTCCTCCTGTGAGAGCCAGTTGGCTGAGGGCATCCAGCAGGCCAATGCAAAGTGAGTCTCCTGCCTTTAGAAAACAAACACCAGACAGGTCAGGAAAATGTAGCCCCAAACCAGTTCTGTCACCAACAAACTGGTTGACCTAGGAAACGGCATTTAACCTCTTCAAGCTTCTGTTTGTTCGTTGGCAAATGAGGGCATGGGATGAAATCGGTGGTTCTCAGTCACTGCTCTGGCACATCGGAGGTGGAACACGACTAGTCTACGTGGTGCAGGATTTTTGTAGCAATTATCAGCCATCAAAAATGCGTGGCAACTCATACATATACCTTTCAGTGTTGGGGTGTGTAGGGGGGGTTGTTTCTTTTTATCACATTAGGTTTCTGTTGTTTGATAGATTGGATTATTCAGTTCATTCATTCATTCAAATGTTATTGCCTGAGCATGCTATGTGCTGGGCCTGTCCTGGGACCAGGTGCTGCCTTTGCATTCAAATGTGGTTTACGTGGAACCAGTTAAAATTCCTAGGTCGTAGGAGGTGACATAATATCTTTTCTCCTCCAAATAAGAATCGCTGAATCTGATATGACTGTGGGTGATCTGATCATGGAAATCCCTGCTTCCCAATCTTTACCACTTCCACCGACCCCCATTCGTATTGGCTAGGATATGCTCTAGGCAATTATCCAAGTTCCCCCCAGCCCCCACCGGGGTTCCTGCAGACGCCGAGGCGTCTACTAGGTTTGCATTCTGATTCCTGTAGGTGGAGCCAGATCCCCTGGCTGAGAGGCCCCGGGCCTGCTCTCTGCGGCGGCCGCCGAGCGGTAGCTTTGCTCTCCAGCTCTCTTCCTCCTTTTCCTTCTCTCTTGTGCGGTCTCCCTCAACATCCAAACCAACCGAGTGCGTCTGAGGTGAAATCGTGCCAGACTTGGAGACGGCTGCCAGGTTTCTCTCAAGTCTTGGCTTAACAAAAGAAAGCAAATTACAAAAATGGAAATTTTCAAACTAGCGTTCAGTGGTATTCAAATCGACGTTTGGGTAGCGCACAGGCACAGACCGCATTCGTGCTATTTTGTGATTAAAATGATACCAAAAATACCTCCTTGCTTTGGTTTTCATCTTCGAAAACGACTTCTTTCCTTCTTCTAATTTCCCCCTTACTTTTGGGAGCGGCAAACCCCTGACCACTCTAGAATTGCTAACATTTGGACCGGCGTCTGTTGAAATCTTGCCTCTGCTGACTTTTTTTTTTTTTTTTTTTTTTTTAAGAGTTGAACTTTAAAAATGTGTGCACTTTGCAGCCTGGGGAAATACAGATAAAGAAGTTTCTAGGCACCTTCCCAGGAAGTTCTGTGTTTTGTGTGAGGAACTACAAGTTCTATGACAGTGCATAAATCGTCTTTACGTGTCATCTTGATACAGGGAGCAAACCTGAATGCGCGTCTTGCCAGAATGCATGCTACCTCGTTCTCCCTTGAGCGTGAATCGTGTGCTCTGTCTCACGCTTTCAAAACATGGGTTTAAGGTGGCCATTGAGTTGGATCTTGAATGATTTTACTTAACATGAAGTTTTATAAAGAGCTTGACTACGTCCTGCTCGATTATTTTTGCGGTTGCTAGACAAGGCCCTGTCCCACGTGGGTTTGTGAGAAAGGTTCTGTCATCATCACCCCACCCCCAAGACTGCACTATTTCTTTCCTTGGAAGCGTTGACTGTCTCCTTCTTACACAGCTGTGTTTGCAGTGCCTGGAGACAGGTGGGGGAGCAGTCTTGGAGGCCGAAGCTGCCAATTCCTTCTCTAAGGACTGTCTGAATAGCTATTACATTTTAAAGATCACACGCATGCACACACTTGTTTTGTTTGTTTGTTTTTGGTGGTGGTCACTCACTATGCCTTCCTGTTTGTTGTACAAGGGCAGCTGCACCAGTTTGCCAGAATGAGATTAAATGTCACAGACATTCTATTGTGTGCATTCGGCAGCCCACATCAGCATCACCTTGGGCCACTGCCATGTCTTTCTAGGCGCCTCAGAAAGCTGGGTCCCGTAGCCTTGGCGGAGTTGTGGGACTGCTTATGAATTTCGGGAAAGAGTTTCTCCCATCTGGATAGGTAAACTCAAAGCTCCCACGGACACTGCAATATTCAGGCAGCAGTCACATCAAGAGGTTCGTGTTGGTTTGGGCCTACACGAATTAGGATTCTCTACCTGGCACAAGTGACTGTGGATAAATCAAGCTGCTAGTATTTTTCAGATTTCAGAATAAAAGGATGACATTTTAATCTGGAATCAGACACCCTGCTCTTTTACCCTTTAGCCCCAAATACCCAGTGCTCTTCAGGACCCTCGTGCCCTTACTTGTGCTGTTTCTTCCTTAGGGAATTTCTCCCTCATCCTCTTCTCTGCTTAGTAAACTCTTGTTGGTCTTTCAAGGCTTGTCTCAAATACAGCCTCTTTGAAATCTTTCATAGCCATGCCCATGCACCGATTTCCACCCCCTCCCCATCATCTGTTCAATGTCGCTCTCTTGCTAGATCTACATGGCATACTACATACTGCATAACTGTGTTACGCACATCTTGGTGTGCTTCTTTCTCCTCTAATAGAATATACTCTTTGCCCAGGCAGGGAACACATCTAATTTACCTCATACTTCTCAGGCTAAAGACGTTCAGTAAAATCTGTTGAATGTATAAAGAAACATGCTTGGTTTTTACATCAATTTCCAAGGGACAATTTGTTTACTTTCAAACTCTCCTAGTTCAATTGCCAGACACCTATAACCATGTCCACAGAGCTAAGAGTAAGATTTTAAAGTTTATATTAAAGTCTGATGTTCGTAGCTCAGAGACATTCTTCTGGCTTATGGTAAAGGAAAGTTGGATGAGCATGTTGGTGGAAAATTTCTGTATTCCCAGCACCTGATTAATGCCTCTGTTCCTACAGAATCCAAAGAGAGCAGAGCAGCCCTGCAGACACGGGAGCTTGTGAAAGTTGTGTGGCTCTCCTACTGCTTTGGTGTAGTCTTGCGGGTTATACTAACCAGTTGTTATTCATTAGACTTTATTCATTAAGTCTTTCAAACTAGAAACCTGAAAATGTCCTTGGAACCTCCCTCTCCCTCACTTCCCACATCCAGTTATCACCAAATCATGTCAGTTCTTCTCCAAAATCTCTCCCAGATCTGCCCACTGTTCTCCATCCTTGCTATTGCTGTGTTCCAAGCCATTATCACTTCCCAGCTGGACGATTGCCAAAGCCTTCTAGTTAGTCTTTCTGCTTCTAGTCTTGCCTGCCTCCCATCATGTCATTCCCTGGCTTACCAGCTTTCAGCGATTGCACTTTGCATAATCCTTTGCATGGCCTTGTGTGGTCTGGCCCCCACTATCTTTTTAGCGGCTCTCTCACTGAATATACTAGACTTCAGGTCCTTGAACTTGCCAAACTCTTGCCTACTTCAAGGCCTATCCATATGCTTACTTGCCTACTTCTTTTGGGAATACTTTCTCTCAGTGTTCACTCCTTTGGATCACTTCTCATCTTTCAGAATTCAACATACATGGCACTTCCTTGGAAATGCAGTCCATGCTACTCCTCTCCACTTCATCCCTTCTGGATAAATCACATCCCCATTGTTGTTACTCCTGATGCCCTATTTTTCCTTCACGTTACTTATTAGCGGTTGCAATTATAAAAAATTATTGATGTTTTTATGTATTTTATGTCCTTCTCTCCATCCACAGTAGATCAAATGAAGGCAGGGATCATGTCTCCTTGTTCAAAAGAGTTTACCAAGAGACCCAGTGCCTAACATATAGTAGGTTGTCAAGAAATACTTTTTGGATAGTGCTGGAAGGAGAATGCTAGCAGGTCGTGTGTAAGAGGCCTGTGACGTGAAAAGAGTTTCATGCAAAAGAAAATGCTGATCTGAAATGAGACTTAAGGATGTTTATGCACATGGAACAAGCAAGGGGAAGACTTGAGTTTTGATATGATATCCCATGGCCTTTCCCCACTGCTATTTGAAAAATAAGAAGAGAACAAGAACAAAAATATTTGTTTTACAACTCTACCAAGATTCAGCCCTCCCCTTTCTCTCCCCCTTGCATCAAGTACATCCTGTACTTTTGGCAACATGTTGACTGGATATTTAAAAGCTGTGAACTCTTCTGAAAATTTCACATACTGGGTTATGGGCCATGTGTGTTTGATCAAAATTCAATTACTACACTGTACCATACTTGGAAACCTATCATCCCAAGTTATGAAGTATGACGAAACAGGCGAACCTAATTGGTTCAGTATGGGAACAGTATCAACCAAGCTTGTTATGATAAATAGCTTCCTGTGTTAAAGGTTCTCTAGAGCTTATAAGTATCTTGGCTCACCTCCTTCAGTGGAATAGGAATACTGCTCCCAGGGACCCCCTAGATCATTGTCCCTTCAATGCAACTGCAGTTCAGCGTTTTCTTCAATTTACTACCCCTGAAAAAGAAAAATGCAGTGCAATTTTCCCTATTCCTTCTCATTTCTTCATTTAGAATTTGAGCACCTGGTAACTTCTTTAGCTTTTCTTGGCCTTAGAAAAACAAATTTTAAAGTTATGAAGCATTCCAATACAGAAAACCAGAAAATGACAGATATCTCTGTACCCACCACTCAGGATTAACAAATAATAATTTTTTTTCCCGATTTCCATCAGATCCTTTTGTTTTCTTTCATGTATCCTTTCTTATTTTTTGAGGCCAAACTTGAACTACAGTACCTATTTATGAGATTTGTAAGTTAACTCCTGAGATACTTTAAAACACTTTAACCAAGAGGATGTATATCACATTACAGAGAAGAACCTGTACTTCGCATGTCTTTTCAGGTGTTGAAATGGACTCAGTGAGAATTTCTGGACGATTCTGTAGATCGGATTACAAGGAACCCTAGAAGAGGGTTGTTGGGGATGTAGGGCGTGGTAGTGCATGCTTGTTATCCCAGCACTTTGGGAGGCCAAGATGGGAGGATTGCTTGAGCCCAGGAGTAGACTAGCCTGGGCAACATAGTGAGACCCAATATCGATCTTAAAAATTTAAAAAACAAAAAAGAAATTGTCTTAACAGCTTGAAAAGATAAAGAAGTAAAATAAAACAAAATATTACCATGCTTTTTGGTTACTGTGGGAATATGTACATAATTTTTCTTTAGAAGTGACATTTTGGGTTGGGTTAGAAGTATTTCCTTCTAGCGATCGTAGTAAAGGGCAAAACAATTGGGTGACTGCCATTTTAAATTCCAAAAAATAATCAGTAGCGCTGGCATTTTCCTCAGAAGACAGCGTTAGGGCTGGGACAATTTGCATATATTTACCCTTAATTCAATCTTACCTTTGCGGTTGCTTTCCCAAGTTTGCTTTCGCTTTATTCACCATTTGTAGTTGGCCATCCTGTTAAACCTGTTAACGAAAATGCATAATGCTGAATCTGCATTTCTCCTGTGGAAAAGTTTTGTGTTTTATAAAAAGTCGTTTTGGTAAAAAGCAAGAGCCTTAGTTTGTCCTTGACAGTAATTCATCAATCATGAGTGCTGCAATGTATAACCACGAAACAGAGAAATATCCTTGGTGAAGGTAAATATGCAAGCCCACACAAAGGAAAAGTAAATACATTGCATGGTTTAGCAGTTTGAAATCACAATGCTGCCAGGATTACATTAAAGTTGTTCTTGTTTTCTGCAGTACCATTAGGTTTACTTTCAAAATTGCAATTAGCTTAAAAGTTGTGATTTCTAAAATGGCCCACTTGCCTTCCTTGTTTTCCTCTATCAGGTGGACGCTAGTATCGTAATCCTTCCATAATTTTTAAATAGGACTTCCAACAAGAAGTGCTCCCTGAAAGCCGTAAACTTCAAAAAATAGAATGTGACTGTAGGCAGTTGTGCTAATCTCCCTTTTGGCAAATCAGCTTTTTTTTTTGTATTGGATCTTACCTGATTGAATAACAAGGGAACTGCCAGAATAAATGCTATTATCTCTGTACAGTAATTAAGGAAATAGTCTTTGTCACTCTAATACGGACCAAGCTCTGCTTGCCTGTAATAAAGTTAAACGATAAAGAATCTGGAATGTAGAGAAAAATAAAGGGAAGTCAGTTACTAGCACGTGTTTCCTCCAGATGAATAGTAGAGAGATTGAATGATGCATTTTGCAGAGACTGCTGAAGAAGTTAAATAACTAAAACATATCAACTTGTAACATTTAATGAAATAATTATTTCAGGAAAAGAAACTCTTCAATTTCTATCTTTGGGAAGAGTTGATGGTTCTTTGGTGAATCTCAATGTATTATTTTAAAACATAGCTTCGCCAAATACAGGTCAAACGCTACTACAGTAAATATCAGTTTTGAGACAATTCTGTCAGTAATCACAATAAACATCTCACTATAATAAAGATAGTTTTAATTACATAGTTTTGAATTGATACTGAGAGAAGAAAAATTTCCTTTATGGATTCAGTGCACCCAAGTGTGGTGTTCCATCTTTTCC